GTCTCTTCTGACTTAATTCTTAGTTATCTTTTGCTCCCATCATTCCACTGCAGCCATTACATGGAGTTTAACATCAGCCTAGGAATGATCAACTGTAATCTGTAGCTTGTTTTTTAGTGTATTTGTTCTCTCCAGAAGCATCTGATGTTATTTTTTTTTTTTTGGTACCGAGGATTGAACTGGGGTCCTTGAGCTTGCATGGCAGGCAGCAGAACTACTGAGCTAAATCCCCAGGCCAACCAAGAAAAATTTTAAAAAATTGCAGTACCTGTCAAGTACTGTTGAAAATGATTTATTTCATTCTTTTTAAGTAATTTTATTGGCACATTTGAGGTATACAATGTAATGACATTCATCATTGGAAATTTACACTTTTACATAATCCATCTTGGTTCTTATTTCATTATTTTCTCAAATGATCTACCAGTAGGTATGTACATGTCACTGTCTTTTTCCCATACTGAGCCTTTTTTTTCTAGTACTGGGAAATGAACCCAGGGCCTTCACAGTGAGCTGTATCCCCAATCCTTTGCTCAAGCTGGGCTCAAACTTGTGGTCCTCCTCCATCAGTGCCCCATAGCGCTGCAGTTACAGGCATGAGCCACCACCCAACAGACTCATTGAGTACAACCTCTTCACATGGAAGGATGTCAGTGATTCACCCTCTGTTTTTGGTCCGAGCCACTCCCTCTGCTATGGGCTGAACACAGCATGACAATACTAAGTAGTGCTCATGGTGCTGAGCTGGTGGACTGACTTTTTCTCCTGTGTTCCAGAGGTTGTTGAGCACGCCTGCAGTGTGACATCTCTCATGCTGGGAGAGACCATGCCGTCCATCACCAAAGACATGGACCTTTATTCCTACCGTCTGCCTCTGGGGGTGTGTGCAGGCATTGCTCCATTTAATTTTCCTGCCATGATACCCCTTTGGATGTTTCCCATGGCCATGGTTTGTGGAAATACTTTCCTAATGAAACCATCAGAGAGAGTCCCTGGAGCAAGTATGCTGCTTGCTAAGTTGCTCCAGGATTCTGGTGCCCCTGATGGAACACTGAACATCATCCACGGAAAACATGAAGGTAATTGCCCTTCTGCCTGTGGCTACTTAGCCTGGCTAACAAAAATCCAAGATCATGGGTGGTAACTGGGTGCTTTACGATGAGAAAACTAGGAAGGAAAGGTGTTACTAATAGTAACATCCATAGGGCTGGGGATTTAGCTCAGTGGTTCCGCCGCCTGCCTCACAAGCACAAGTTTGATCCCCGGTACCAAATATATATATAAATAACTAAATAATAGTAATGCCCATGTTTGAAGGTAATGTGCATTGACTTTTATTGTCTGTGTGCGCTCATGTAACTAATCAGGGAGGACCAGTGCTTCTTACCTTTCACTACACACAGAGACACCAGAGATAAGGATTAGAACCAGATAGAGGGGCAAAAGTAAAGAGAAAAGTTTTGTTTGAATGTTGAGGGAATTCATGCGGATATTTAATTGAAAGAATTTGTAGACATCAGAGAAATTGAGGGCCTAATTCACATAATATTAATACTTAAATGGTACCTCTGATTCAGGCACTGTTCTTAGTTCTTGTAATATACATGGTTGGGGGTATAGCTCAGTGGTAGAACACATACTTAACTGAGCAAGCACAAGGCCCTGGATTTAATCCCCAGCATCAAGTAAATAGTAAAGAAAGAAATATATACACCTACTTTTTTCCTTCCCATTTAATCTTTGTAACAATCACTTAAGGTCACTACTATTTTTTTTCTACATTAAAGATAAGAAAATTGAGGCATAATGACATTAATTTCCCCAAATCCTACTGCTAGAAAGTATCAGAATGTGTTACTCAGGGAGATTGGTTAGTTCTTGCTTTTAAATACTATGCCCTATCGCTTTCAGGGGTGGGTGTCAGGGATTGAACTCAGGACCATGCACTAGTGAGGCAAGTGCAGGGCCACTGAGCTAAATCCCCGGCCCTTCCCTATCACTTATTTACCAGGGATCGAACTCAGGACCTTGTGCTTGTCAGGCAGGCACAGTGCCACTGAGCTATAACCCCAGCCCTGCACCGTATCACTACTCACAGGACACTGTACTGAGGGTCTCATTATACAGAGACAGTTGAGGATGTGTCACATTCTTAAAGGACAAAAAGGAAGGGTCATATACTGAAAGGCTGTTATTTAAAGGAAAACAGTGGTTCACTAATTTCAGAGTTAGACTTGAAGTGGAAATTCTGAAATAGTTAATGAGAAAAACAATGAAGGGCCAGGGATTTAGCTCAGTGGTTCCACCACCTGCCTTGCAAGCGCAAGGACCCGAGTTCAATCCCTGGTAACAAAAGCAAAAACAAAAAAACAAAAAAAAACAAAAAAAGAGAGAGAAAAAAACAATGAAGAGGTTAAATAGAATTTGTAATTTAAAGAATTTAAGCGGGGGATTTAGCTCAGCGGTTCGGTGGCCTGCCTTGCAAGAGCAAGGACCTGAGTTCAATCCCTGGTACCAAAAAAAAAAAAAAAAAAAAAAAAAAGAATTTAAGAGAAATAAATACAAAGAAACTGCATAATGGAAATACAGTATAGAAAAACAAATGTATGAAAACTTGATCCATAGCAGTGGCAAAGGGAAAATTTGCCATCTTGAAAAGACTGTGGCTATTTGTTCTTTGTGGTAATCATTTATTTTCTTCTTAAAGCTGTCAATTTTATTTGCGATCATCCGGACATCAAAGCGATCAGCTTTGTGGGATCCAACCAGGCAGGAGAGTACATCTTCGAGAGAGGTTCAAGACATGGCAAGAGGGTTCAAGCCAATATGGTGACTTCTTATTCCCTTTTTCCCCAAACTTGTTATATGTATTTAAAAAACCTAGGGACAGCCCTTCAGCAGAGGGGCTGCTCATTCCCCTCTAATGCCAGTGCTTCTTAATTATGTTTTACCCTGAATGTCTTCTCCTTAGCCATGAAGTTTTGAGTTTTACTCAGTCACAGTGATCGCTTCCTATCATATACAACTAATCCTGGTGATAAAGATTCTTTCTTAAGAATGTCATTCAACTTTTTTGGGCTTCGGCAGTAACAGCCAAATTCTGGTTCTATCCTTTATACCATGCTTCCAGCCCTTAATCTTTCCTTCTTTTAAGGAATATCCTAACAACTAATGTCAAAGATATGACCATCCTGGCTGGGTGTCCATTTAAGGCACTGGAAAAAAACCAAATATCTCTATATATGTGGGTATGGTTTACTTTTACTGTTCTTTTTCTAGTTCCTTGCCAAATGTTGAGCAATTTTTAAAATTAATTAATTTTGTGATACTAGGGTTTTAATCGAGGGCCTCAAGTGTGCATCCCAGGAATCACTGAACAACACGCTCAGCCCTTTTATTTGGGGGGGGGTGTTTAGACAAGGTCTTACTATGTAGTTGAGACTGACCTGGAACTCACTATGTAGCCCAGGCTGGTCTCAAACTCACAGCAATCCTCCTGCCTCAGCCTCCCGAGTGCTGGGATTATAGGTGTGTGCCACACGCCTGGCTTTTATTTTTTATTTTGAATCAGGATCTTACTTGGTAAATTGTACTGGTCAGCCTCAGACGTGTGATCCTCCTGCCTCAGCCTTCCAAGTAGCTGGAATTACAGGCATGGGCTACCATGCCAGGCTGAAACTCTTTGATACTCAATATAAAGTCCTACTGCAGGGCCAAGGAAGGATTTAGCAGCAACACTGCACCTGCCTGGCAAGCACAAGGTCCCAAGTTCAGTCCCCAGTACCAAACAAATAAAGTCCTGTTGCGTCTATCTTGCCCTCCCTCTCCCCACTCCAGTATTGAACCCAAGGCCTTTGAACTGAGCTATATCCCCAGCCTTTAAAAAATTTTTTTGAGACAGGGTCTTGCTAAATTACCCCTCCCAGAGTGCTGGGATTATAGGTGTGTACCTCCATGCCCAGCCATCTCACCCTTCTTGCTTCTTTTGTACAGGGGATAACCACCTATGCACAGATTTAGAAACTTTCCATGCTGGAATGTGTTTTAAATAATTTGATAAAGCCCTTCCCAATTCACTGTTTATTGAGTACATTCTGGGACCTGAGGTTTAGTTTAGTGGTGTTGTCACCTGCCTGACAAGCCCAAGATCCCGAGTTTGAGCCCTGATACCAAAAAAAAAAGTATTTGACTTGAGTATATTCCGTGTTCAACATTGTATATAATGAGATTAAATAGCAGACATAGTATCTATCCACATAGTCAACTGAATTTTTATGTGGAAACTTACTGATCATCCTACATAGAAAAGACATACATGTAGCTAGCTATACAGTGTAGAAACAAGCCAATTTGGGAACCTCTTTCTAGAAGTTATGTATCAGGAGATCTGCCTTCTGTGTTGACTCTCAGATGCTCTGGCTTTACCATTAATGGCAGCTGTTTGTTTACATTGTTCTTCATTTAATTGGAAACCCACATGGACAACAAATTCCTATCTAACTTAGGAAAAAGAAGGGTATTTTCCTTGGTTGCTGAATGTAATGTTTAACCTATTGGTTTGAAAGTGATTGGGGTTATTTCCTCCCTTCTTCAGTAATTCAGTAATAGTTTCAATCTAAATAAATACCTATCACTGGACGTGGTGGCTCACACATATAATCTCAGCACTTGGGAGGCTGAGGCAGGAGGATCATAAATTCAAGAGCAATCTGGGCTACACAGTGAGCTCAAGGCCAGTGTGAACTACAAAGAAAGACCCTGTCTCAAAATAATGAAAAGAATAAGTACATACATACATTCATATCAGCTTTTCAACTGGAAAGTAGAGAAAAAGTAATGTCGACCTTCTCAATCTTGCCAAGATATTAGCAGTAATATTAAAAATAATTTTTTCATCCTCAAATCAACAACAAATGAATTCTCTAGTACTTTGCTTAAGTTATCACTTGAAATGTCAGATTCTTTCTTAGCTTAATTATATTTGGTCAAGGAAGATCATGTATTTTCTGTATTTCTTTAGGGAGCCAAAAACCATGGGGTAGTCATGCCAGATGCCAATAAGGAAAATACCCTGAACCAGCTGGTTGGGGCAGCATTTGGAGCTGCTGGTCAGCGGTGCATGGCTCTTTCAACAGCAATCCTTGTGGGAGAAGCAAGGAAGTGGCTGCCAGAGCTGGTGGAACGTGCCAAAAAACTGCGGGTCAATGCAGGTAATCAATCATCTGGCCGCCAACTTTGATTTTCCATCTGTGGTATGAAGCTCTTGGTTTTAGCATTGTCCTTGGCCAGTGGAGAACAATGTCTACTCTTACCATTGCCTCTCTCTATACTGTTACCTGTCATTTGGGTTCATCTCTGATTAGCTGCTATAATTGGTTAATAAAGACCTTAGCACTTGTATGTTGTTTTGCAGGAGACCAACCTGGAGCTGATCTTGGCCCTTTGATCACCCCCCAGGCCAAAGAGCGAGTCTGTAATCTGATTGATAGTGGACCGAAGGAGGGAGCTTCCATCCTCCTGGATGGGCGAAATATTAAAGTGAAAGGCTATGAAAATGGTAACTTTGTTGGACCTACCATCATCTCAAAAGTCAAGGTGAACAACTCTTATCTCACAAATACGAGCGCTGAAGGCACCTTAGAGGCTATGGAATCTCATCCTTCTAATTTATAAATGAAGGCATTTAATTATTAAAATCGCAACCCTCAGGATTGCTCAGTTATTTTATCCAGAGTCTAATTAACTCTCCCCTTCTGACTCGCAGCCAGAGCTCTGCCCTACACTAGTATTTAGCACACTTCCATATCTCTATCATTGTAGAGACAGTCTCTGTCAAAACTACTCAACTCTGATGTGATGTGTCCTTTGAAATCAGTCATAAAATTATGTGGCTGTGCTCTAAAAACATTTATGGACATACATTTGAATTTCATGTGCTTTTACGTCCTGAAATATTCTTTTGATATTTTTCTCAGCTACTTCAAAATGTAGAAATCACTCTAGCTTGTGGACTGTACAAAAACGAGCAGCAGCCACATTTGGCCCACAGGCAGTAGTTTGTCTTACACTGTCTTACGTTACTCAGGTTGTTTAATTCTCCTGCTCCCTCTCTCCATCTCAGCTGTTTCAGTATCTCAATCAGTGTATCTACCACCAATTTTTTCCCCTGGTTTTGGGGAATGAACCCAGGGAGTATTGAGCTATATTCCCAACCTTTTATCATTTTTATTTTGAGACTTGGTCTTGCTAAGTTACCCAGGCTGGCCTCAAACTCTCAATCTTTCTGCCTCAGCCACCAGGCAGCTGGGATTGCAGGTGCAACACCACACCTGGATCCAATATTTATTGAACACCCTACTCTGTGCCCACAATTTAGCTGTATCTTCACAAGAAAATGACAAAAGAAAAAGAATTGGTCAATTTTTATTTATCAACACTCTGAAAGTCTCTCAGCTAATATTTACGACTAAATTGAGACTAGGAGGCTTTTGTTGGAAATTCATATATCCCACTATAATCATGAATAATTGGGACTGAACTCTCGCCATAGAACCAAAGGAAAAATCTACTGATCAGCAACACAGCTGACTAGAAACAGTACTGAAGGATGTTTTGACTAAAGTGTGACCCAATACCAAAGTAAAAATGTACAGACTTACTTGGGAGGCAAAGAAATGAATGAGAACAGATTGCTTATGTTACAGAGAATTTAGCACGGGATTTCTATAAACAGAAAAACTCTCCTGGTATATTTAATATATGTTTGATTTATAACAAATTAACTTTTCTATAGCTTTTTGGTAACATAAGAATTGTATGGAAGTGGTTGCCCAGGTATGGGAGGCCAGTGATGTTTTGTGAGAACTAAAACTGGGAATGTGGTTATAATTAATAGGAACTTCAAGTTATTACATGTTGGTAGCTCAGAATATAGAACAGAGTAAGAGAGAACTTTTTTTTAAATAGGTGATTTAAAGTGAAAGTAGACTGCAAACATGAAAGCTATCCATATAGACAGCTGGGTAGTAAAAGTACCAAATAAGCATAAAATACTCAGAATCCAAAAAGCTGACTTCTTTCTGGACACATCACTCCTGGCAGCCAAATATGACCTGTTACAAAGAGGAGATTTTTGGCCCAGTTCTTGTGGTCCTGGAGACAGAAACATTGGATGAAGCTATTAAGATTATAAACAACAACCCTTATGGAAATGGAACTGCCATCTTCACCACCAATGGAGCCACTGCTCGGAAATATTCCCACCTGGTGGATGTTGGACAGGTTTGTGAACAGAAGTTTGGAAAATTCTTCTAGCTCTTTAGCATTCCTGAGAGGCAGTAAGCAGTGATCAGTCACTGCAGCTTACTTAAAGATTGCCCCTTTAATTTCCCCCACTGCTCTATTTCTTCCTCAGGAATAACAATTTGTGGGATGGAAGTTATCTACTTCACATGGCTCTTTCATAAATAAAAAGAAAAAAGAAAAGTTCTAAAAAAAAAAAAAAGATTAGTCTTTTTGTTGTCTTGTGCTTCTAAATGAGAATCCATAGTTTGAGTCCTTTGCTTGGGATTTGATATGGATTTGTTCTGCTTTAGGTGGGAGTCAATGTCCCTATCCCAGTGCCTTTGCCAATGTTCTCATTTACCGGCTCTCGAGCTTCCTTTAGAGGAGACACCAATTTCTATGGCAAACAGGTAACTTGAGTTAAATATTTTTCCCTTTAAGAAAATTTCTTGAACATATTCAGGAGCAAGGATTCTACAAAGAAGGGCTTGTCAGCAGCTTCTGTGGACTCGTGTGTTGTTCCATAGTGTTTCTCAGAAAGTTCCCTAGAAAAGATTTAAAAGTTAACAAAATTTTGCCAAAACAGTTTGAGGAAAGAGTATATGGAATTCCTTTGTATAAGGCTCTGCTCCCCATCTCTGACCTCTCTCCAGGCTTAAAGAACAGACTCCTCTAGAAACTCCCAATGGCCACCACCACTCCCTCCCTGATGCTGGATGTGTGCACCATGTGATCCACTGCATATACTTCACTGGGGATAATCATTTGTTCACAAAAACTTTTTTTCCCCCCGTACTGGAGATTGAAGCCAGAGCCTCTCTGCACTGAGCTACATTCTCATCCCTTTTTAAATTTTTTATTTTGAGAAAGGGTTTTGCTAACTTGCCCAGGCTGGGCTCAAACTTGTAATCCTCCTGCCTCAGCCTCCCAGAGCACTGGGATTACAACAGTGTGCCACCACATTTGGCTGGGTGTGATAGCACACACTTGTAATCCCAGCAGTCCCAGGAAGAGCACATGTTTGAGCCCCATCTGGGCAACTGGATAAAAAGGTCTGGGGATCTCAGTACACAGACCCTGGGTGAAATAAATAAAATCAAAATATAAAATGAAAAATTTAAAGGGCTGGGGCTATAGCTTAGTGGCAGAGTATTTGCCTAACATGCATGAGGCCTTAGATTTAATCTCCAACACCACAAAAAGAAAAAAATTTATTGAGTACCTTCTTTGTACCAAATACCATTCTAGGCATTATGACTATAGTACTGAACAAGAAAGAGTGCAGATCTGGAGCTAGACTGCTTGGGTTCAAATCTCAACTCAGCCAGTTATGAGCTGTGTGACTTCAGATATACCCTCTTTTAGGCCTCAAGTCTCTTTATCTGTAAAAGGAGAATATATTTCATATGCCTATGAGGACTGAATCATCACCACATGCATCAGCAGGTGCATGTCCTATGGCAGGAACACATATGGCATGTTAGCCAGCAGAAATGAGCCAGACCGCAGTAAGTGAGGACACTGAGAATAGACGAGGTTAGTTAGAGTAGACGAGGCAGAAGCCAAGCCACTGTAGGGCCCTTTAAGCCATGTCAAGCAGTCTCATCAGATTATTATGTTAAATGAAATACAAGGACAGAAACAACAAGTAACACATGGTCTCACTCATATGTGGAATTTAAGTAGATCTTATAGCAGAGTTAAGAGTGAAATGGTGGTTATCAGAGGCCAGGGAGAGGAGTGGGTAGGGGGAGAGATGGGGAAATGCTGATCAGCGCAGGTGCTAAGTTACTGTTAGCTAGGAGCAAGTTCTGCCGTTCTGTTACTACATAGCAGTGTGACTATAGCTGATATAATGTAGTATACGTTTCTAAAAGGAGAAAAAGGATTTTCAAAGTTTTCACCCTAAAGAAATGATAAATATTTGGGGACATCAATTATATTTAACCTGATATAAACATTATCAATGTATACACATATCAAAACATTATGATGCATTAATGTTATTTTTGTTTTTCTTATCAGTTCAAATTCTTTTCAATTAAAAAAGCCATCTCACCTTGTAATTAAGAAGAAATCTTTCTCTTTTTTTTATGACAGGGTCTCAGTCAAAAAATAATCTAGGTTGGATCTGAACTTGCAATCCTCCTGCCTAAACCTTCCAGATAGCTAGGATTACAGGTGTGCACCACCACACCCAGCATGTTACCTATCCGGCACACAGCAGGTCATCCAAGCATTTGTTAAACAAATAGGCGTTCTTTGTAGTCCGAAAGACATGCAACCATTTTGGAACACTGATTAATAAATTACATATTTTGGTGCTGGGATGAAGCTCAGTGGTGCCACACTTGTCTGGCAAGTGCGAGGTCCTGAGTTCGACCTCAGGTACCAAATATAAATAAATAAATTACATATTTTATATATAGGCCTCCCCTTTTATAGGTTAATACAAAATTATTAGTGGGATTGCATAATGGATGTGATAATGTAACTGAGGGGTTAAAAAGTCAACATCTAAGTGACTTGGTGACTGATTATGTATTTTGTATATTAATCATAGCCCTTGCAAGACTTACTACAGATGTCCTTTGACCTATGATGGATTATGTCCTAATCAACCCATCATAAATTTACAGTACCATAAGTTGAAATGTATTTAATAGACCTAAATTACTAAACAACATAACTTAGCAACAAAGTGCACTGCAGATTATCAGTTGTTAAGGCCTTCAAGGTCTCAGGGCTGACTGGGAGGGAGTATGGTCACCGTCTACTGTCACAAGAGTATCATATCACTTATTGCTAACCTGGGAAAAGAGAAAATTTGAAGGACAATTTCTATCAAATGCACATTACTTTTGCACCACCTTAAAATGAAAAAAAGAGTAAATCACAGATCATCTGTAGCTTGATACTGATAAGCATGTTTCTTTGTTTAAAACACCTTTTCTTTCTACCCTCATCTTGGTTGAATTATTATAAATTACCCTAATAAGTGAGACTTCTTGGAGGGAAGAAATTACTTAAAACATATTTTGAAGTCTTAAATCCTTAGGTTTAGTAACTTAATAGTTGCTACTTTGCATTCTGGAAAAAAGATATGAAAATATTGCTCTTATATAATAAAATACAAAAGTGAAGCCTGGCAAGGTAGTACATGCTTATCCCAACTATTCAGGAGGCCAAGGCAGAAGGATCACTTGAGCCTAGGAGTTTAAGACTAGCCTGGACAACACAGTAATACCTCATCTCAGAAAATTATATATGGAGGACCAGGGATTTAGCTCGGTGCTACCGCCTTGCCTTGCAAGCTCAAGGTCCCAAGTTCAATCCCAGTACCAAAAAACGCCCCCAAAATTATATATGGAGACAGATACAGACACAGAAAGAAACATTAAACATGATGTATTTTTTTACCCATACATAGGTAATTTAGAAGTGACTTTGTATATACAACACTTTACTTTAGATTTTTAAGATATTTTGACTTTGTTGCTTCACTGTTGAGCTCATGATCACTGACAATGATCAAAAATGGTCTAATACATATAATGCCTTTATTCCTTTCAATTCATGGGAAGGAGATAAAAGCTAACAGCTGTTGAATAGGAATGACTTGGTAGGATAATTTTGTGTGGTATATTATTTTCTCACAGCATTAGTGTTGTGTCTCTCAGATAAGGCTCAAGTTTAAACTTCAGTCAATAAAGGGAGAGACAGGATTTGAGAAAGTCTCCTGACTTCAAGGTATGTGATGTTAAGCTGTGGAATAAAATGATGTGCAAGCTTAACAGACTACATTGTTCAATTTTTCCATTTTTGATGCTCTTGGCTAAGAAGCTTTAACTTTAGAAATATTAATGGTAACTAGAATATCACTGTTACTAAGTGCCAGAAAGATAAATCTCATGAGCTACATACTGGACTTTGGTTGCATCTATTAATAGGAACATGAATGGTACCCTCAGAACTACCTTCCAAAGCTAATTAAGAGAATCCCACAAGCTTGTAGCTGTCCCCTGGAAGTACATGCTAATTCACTCTCTCTTTTCTTGGTTCTCTTTAGGGCATCCAGTTCTACACACAGCTAAAGACCATCACTTCTCAGTGGAAAGAGGAGGATGCTACTCTCTCCTCACCTGCTGTAGTCATGCCTACCATGGGTCGTTAGAAACAAAGTTTCTTCAAACCTGGTCCATCCTGCATAATCTCCCTTCATTCTTGACCAACTTCATTTGCCAGCTTTGTTCAGATCAGATCTCTGGGATTGGAATATATTTCACTAAGTCCTTCTCACAACTTGGCCCCTTCAAAGTTGGTATAGGGAGACATCTAGTGTAATACTGACCTCAGATTTTTACTAGCTTTTCATACTTCTGTTTTTGAGGTCACTGGTATAACTATGGAATGCTCATTGAGAATGAGAGCCTAGACTTGTTTCCTAAAAACTCTCCCTTTCTGACAGCCTGAAGGAGGGCAAGATCAGTGTATACACAGGTCTTATAATTGGAAAAAGAATGCTTGGATGGGGAAATAGTATGGAAATACAGTTCACCCTCTGGCTGAGTCTCAAATACAGCCCTCCATCAAGGCTAATGGGCGAGGCCCTTCTGCCAAGTTTTCCTGAGCCTCCCTCATTCCACACTATACAAGATCCAAGCCATTTCTACTTATCCCAATACTGTGACAGCTGTTTCTTTTGCTTTTGCTCAATGACACTTTGTTATCCTTGTGATTCATTGTCCCTATTCCTGACTCTTAAAATCACTTCTCAAGAATACCTCAGTATTCAATGAGTAAATCAACTTTATTATATGTGCCAAATTAATTATATGTTAAGTTTCAGGGCTTGTTTCAAATCATTAATGCCTTGCCATTAACCCAGATGCAAGTAGTTTTCTTAGTTATTTCAAAAGTAATCATGAAAATAACCATGAAACTATGAAAGTAGCCATGAAGTAACCATGAAACTATGAAAGTGGGTAAGACTCTTACCTAAAGCAAGTCTAACCTGCTATTATTTGCCAGATTTTATATAATTTTCTTTTACCTGCACTTCTCATCAGTAATTCTTTTTTTCTTTTCTTTTTCATTAGTGTTACTGACTGGGACCTAAGAAATTTCAAAGCTTTTCAATACATATAGTTAAGAAATGCTTTGGGCAACACACTTTCTGGTCCCCCCTTCTGTCTCTCTTAGACAGAAGCTTTCTTACCCTCAATAAATTTTTCCTACTCTTAACCTCCATTGTTTCTAGAATTCATTCTTGGATTTTAGAGAACACGAACTCATGTTTCAGATATCTAGAAGGTCTGGGAGTTTTATCTCTTTCCCCTATATCATTCTGGAGGTCTTCCACCAAGATTACTGGTCAGAGATGGCATCCTACTAAAAGATAACAAATAAGAGTTTTCTTTCTGTCATTTAATGTCTTGTGATTAGATGGAGGTGTTTGACTCAAAAACTATTCCATGCTAAGATGAACATGGATTCAACTACTACAACAACCATGGTTGATAAGAAATAACATCCCCTCTAATTGAGCATTATACTTCAAAATGCTTAATGTCCAGACAAAATTACAATAGTTAAGCTCACTGCTCCTACTGAAATACTTACCTCACTGATCTTCTGGGTATTCAAAAACTAAAGTTTGGAGACCAAAACTAGAAAGGTAACTAGGCTATGAGGACAGCCAATATTTTGGCCCTGGCCCCTCAAGGTCTACAAGATCCAGGACACAAAGGAACCTTTCCTACAGGATCCTACATCTTTGAGACTGCCAAACTCCAAGCGGTCATACAAATGGAACCAATGACAAATGTGCTAGACTTCTTTTACTGGGAACCCACCAGATTGACCTTGTAAACAGCTCATAACTGCTAAAGTATACAATGACTTCTATATTGGATTCTGAAGTCCCCTGGAGCTTCTTATCCTCTTTGTGGGCTATATTTATAGCAATCCTGCTGACCTTATAATGTGGCCCATTCACTCTTAACTGTATCTTTGGCTTTGTCTTCTCCAGACTTAAAAGCTATGCAGCACCAAGATGACAATGCCTGGTGCCTATCAAAGGCCTTTAGATAGACCCTCTGTCCAGTAACTCTGCTGGTCACAACTAGGACCCTCTTCTGCTGGAAGGAGCCAGAGCTGTCTTCGTCCTTTGTCCCCTCACAGCAGTTAGGGGTATTTCTTCAGAGAGGGTAATATTGCAGACAGGTAAGTAATTAGATATCTTGCAGGCAGTTAAGACAGGGCTACCCTCAAGTAGCCAGCCCTCAAGGAGCCAACTTAGCAAGGAGCCAAATGGAGGACAATCAGGACACATTCACTGAAGGCCAGAAGTGTAAAAGGAGAGAAACTACTATACCCTTTTGCTTCCCCTGGGATAAATAGCAGTGATTGATATTCTAAATAGGTATCAATCACCTGGGGGCAGGGGCTCAAGGTCTTAACCCAGGAAATATCTTGTCTTTCCAGAAATATCCCTGGAATATCAAGGTCTTTCCAGGAAATATCCCTTACCCCTACCCTTACTGAAAACCCTTGTGTGCTTGCTATGTGACTTGCTCCCCCATTTGACCCCCACTTAATCAATATTACCTGGGTGACTGTGCTTGGAATCTTATTGGTTGGTCGTAGTTTTGCCCCACCTCATGCCCACCCTGTAATTTTCCATGGGTCTTAACAGTTTTGTCCCACTTTGTACCCGCCTCACCACATGGCTTGGCTGTATAAAACATCTTTGAAAAGTAGAATGGGCGGGCAACCCATATTCCGGTCCAGTCCCCCTTCTGTATTAGACAGAAGATTTCTTTCCCTCAATAAATTTTTCCTACTCTTTAAAAAAACAAAAAAGCTTTAACAGGTGGCTGGGTGCCTGCATCAAAAGCGAAAGGTCCTGAGTTGGATCCCCAGCAACACCCCCCCCCCCCGCAAAAAAAGAACTGCTTTAACAGTCTCCTGCTGTTTATTTCAAGTGCCCTTGTGTTTTTTGTTTTTTGACATATATAAACTTTAAGTCAGAACAAAAATTGATGTGCTAAACAGAATGGATTCTGCCTTTTTGTTCCACCATCTCAACTGAATCTGAGCTTTCCAGACTAGGAGGCTACTGACTCTGGTAATCTCTGCTCCTTAGCCACATGGCTTTGGTCACTTTTCTGATTCTCCATTTGATATTCAGGTAGTGCTGCCCTACTCCATGGAGATTATTCAGTGAGCTGAGAATAGTGAAAAATCTTGCAAAGTTGCACTCTAAACTTTTAAGTTTATTACTACCACCTGTTGGAGAGAATGTCAGAACATTCCCTCTAATAAGGTGACTGAAACTTTTAACTTTACAGGGTCTGTTTGTTTTTTGTTTCCTAAAGGTGAAGGAATAGAAATTTACAGTTTGAGAATACAATGCCCCTATTTTATCTGTTACAAAACACAGCTAATGTCTAATCCACCAAGTTTAGGCTGGGTTGAATAAAAAATTACTACTGTCTAAATTCTGGGTGGAATTAAATACAATCACAATGACTCCTAATATTTTTCTTACATATAAGGGAAGCCACTTTTTAAAAAAATACTGACTGATGGGAACTGTGTTAGTGTAAATGGAATCGGCTCATCCCTCAGCCACTTGCTGCTCAGAAGTTTTTTGTTTCTTAGATAAAAATTAGGTATTTTATTTTCTTTTTAAATCTGATATGGCCTCATTTAAACTTTCTTAGAGTCTACCTCGGTCTAACCAATAATGAATAATAAAAATCACAAATAAAAAGCACTTAAAGAAAAAAAAATCTGGCTTGTTTTTACTGATACCGTATTTCTTTAATGCCTTTGTCTATTGAGTCATACTTCTTACCTCCATCCAAAGCCAAGAGTTACAAGGCCACTGTGCTTGTGCTCATATAAAAGACAGTGGGGGGCCAGGGATTTAGCTCAGTGGTACCCCCTTCCTCACAAGCACAAGGTCCTGAGTTCCATCCCTGATACAAAAAAAAAAAAAACAAAAAACCCAAAAAAAAAAAAAAAAAACAAAAAACCCAAAAAAAAAAACAAAAAACAAAAAGACAGTGGGGCTGGAGGTGTAGCAGTGGTGTAATGCTTGTCTAGCATACACAAAGCCCTGGGTTTGATCCTAAGTACAAAGAAAGAAAGAAAAAGAACATATTTTGGCTAGACTGCTTTCCTTTCTTTCTATTTTGCTGCATGTGTGTGTGTGTGTGTGTGTGTGTGTGTGTGTGTGTGTTTCCCATACTAAAAGAAGTACTGATCTACATTTGCATTATGTAGAGTGTGCGTTTCATATGGACATCGTTATAAAATTTTTCATGATCTCATACTAGTGTATTTGTTACTTATTCCACCGATACCTGAGACTCCTAGTTGGCTAGTAAGGAACTGTAAATTAGCAAGAAGCTGCATATAGAAGGATAACAGTCATATTATCTGATAGACTAAAAACTCCTTACCATGTTGGGCTCCTGTGATCCTTTCAGAATACTGGAAAGAGCCATTTCAGAGTCTGAGACTGGAACTTGCTGAGTGATGAATATTTGATCTTGAAGCTTACTTTCATCTGTTTGATCTTGAAGCTCAATTTCATTTGTCTGATCTTTAAACTCAGTGTCATCAGTCTGATCTTGAAGCTTATTTTCATTTCTTTAATAAAGACAAAATATGAGTTATGTGAACAACCACACATGGAGGTTGGTTCAGAACAACAAATTTGTCATATTACTTTCCCATAATTCCAGCACATGTAAGATGCACACAGAATCATCATGATCAGGTTCACATTCATGGACTTTGGCAAGAAAGCTCTTACCTAAACTCCTTCTTTTCTTCACCGTCAGAAACAATGAAGTCTATACCTGGAGGCCTAGAACACTGGCCGTATTTCCTGTAGTGACTGAAAGTCAAACTACATAATAAGGCCTATTTCCCTATGCCCTCATATTTCATTTATACCCTTAAAGTGCTAAGTGAAAAGCTTTGGTTGGATGAACTTCTTGTTTTCAAAATGAAGTTTTACACAATCATTGATGCAGTTTATTAGGCAAGTTAATATAGTCCCTTAAAAATGGAGACATATTGACAGGCATGCTTGCTTGTAATTCCAGATACTTGGGAAGCAGAGGCAGGACAATCATAAATTGTAAATTCAAGACAAATCAGGCCGGGTGTGGTGGCACACACCTATAATCCGAGCACTTGGGAGGCTGAGGCAGGAGGATCACTGTAAATTTGAGACCAGCCTGGGCTACAGAGTGAGTTCCAGGTCAGTCTCAACTACATAGTGAGACCCTCTCTCAAAAAAACAAAACAAAACAAAAAAAACAAAAGACAAGTCTGGGCAATTTAGTGAGACGCTGACTAAAAAGGTTAAAAAAAAAAGGTTGGGGGTGAGAGGGATGTATGTAGCTCAGTGTTCCTCGGGTTCATTCCCACTACTACAAAAACAAAAAGTTGCAGGGCCGGAGTTGTGGCACAGTGGCACTGTGCCTGCCTGGCAAACACAGGTCCTGAGTTCAATCCTCAGTACAAAAAAAAAAAAAAAAGTTGCAACATGTTGAACTCAAGAAACAAATATTTACAGAGATGATGATAACAAAGGTACTCACCTATTCTGCCATAAAGAATGATAAACTTGATTCATATTTAGATAAATGGATGCATCTCCAGCCATGTTAAGGGAAATAAATCAGACATACAAGTTTAAATATCACATTGTTTCTCCTGTGAGAAACCCAAAGGGTAGCCGGGCATGGTGGAGCACGCCTGTAATCCCAGCACTCAGGAAGGAGAATGAGGCAGGAGGATCGCTGTGAGTTCGAGACCAGCCTGGGCTACATAGTGAGTTCCAGGGCAGTCTCAACTGCATTAAAAAAAAAAAAAAAAAAAAAAAAAAAAAAAAAAAAAACCAAATGGTAAATAAAAAGCAAAATGGAGAATGATATTGAGACGTAGGAAGAATACATTCAAACGGAAGGGGGAACAAAGGGAAGAAAAAGGATTTTTTTTCAAAGAATGGAATGGAAAAAAAATGGAAACAAAGCTTTTATAAATGAGAAGGGAAGAAAGGCTGAAAGGAGGGAAGGGGAATGGGAAGAAAAGAAGAATTAAGACATTATGTACAGCTATAAATTCCTTATGATGATTGTGATCATTATGTATGGAAAATACATACTAATAAAAATAAATTTTAGGGCTGGGGATTTAACTCAGTGGCACTATACCTGCCCTCACAAGTGCAAGGTCCTGAGTTCAATCCCCAATACCCAAAATAAATAAATAAATAATAAATAAATCTGAAAAAAAAAAGGTGCTCACACAACAGCTATTAGTGGTAATGGACAGGGTTGAATCAGATTGTTGACCAAAATATCCAGAAAAGCTCTCTTTCCACAAAAAAACCCTCAGAATATAGAAAGGTTACTCAATGGAGATAGGCCCAGCATGAAAATTTCTCTTTATAATTTAGAAAGGCTGGGTTTTAAAAAAAAAAGAAAGAAAGAAAAAACAGGGCTGGGGATTTAGCTGAGTGGTTCTGCCGCCTGCCTTGCAAGCACAAGGACCCAGAGTTCAATCCTCGGTACCAAAAAAAAAAAAGGCTGCGTTTAAAAACAGGAAGTAGATGCATGATAAATTAGTATTCTAAATTTGAAATGAGCTTAACAGAGATAAAAGAACATAATATATTGATCTGCCAAGAGATAATGGCACATATCCCACTCCTAAACTTGTCTTCAAGTAGGTGCCCATGACAGCAGCATAAACCCATTGAAAATCTAGACATATAATAGTCTGCATGATAGTGATATATGAGAAAAAAAATTTTTTTTCCAGTTTTTTGAGACAGGGTCTCACTGTGTAGTTGAGATTGACCTGGAACTCACTATGTAGCCCAGGCTGGTCTCAAACTCACAGCAATCTGCCTGCCTCACCCTCCCAAGTGCTGGGTTTACAGGCGTGCACCACCACGCCTGGCAGAGAAAATGTACTTTAGACATGAGCAGAGCTTTACTCACTGCTAAAGCACTGATGTATTTTAGCCCCTTACTGGTTATTAACTTAAATCAATCACTTAGATATTGTACTGCTGGGTCACACAATATCAACTGTGAACTCGGACCAACTTCCTACTACTCCATGTGCCTTAGTAGACTTTCTTTCACAGTAGTACCTCAGCTTACCATCTTAATTTGTTTTATAACTGGAGAAAATGGGCTGCGTTTTTGTTTGCTTGTTTGTTTGGGAAAATATCTGTGGTCATATTTCTCACCTGATGCAGAGTTTGTGAGTGGAAGCAAAATTTTGCTGAATACTTTTGTGAACTGAATTGTTTGCAAATAGAACTGTTTGTGAATTGAGGTGTTACCGTAGCCAGTTTCTTCCCGATTTTGAGCTCTCTCACTTAATCTCATCAACATTTCACCATCTATTCTTTTTGTTTTTCACCATCTATTATTTTTTTTCTTTATTCAGTTTTGGCATGAGATTTCAACAGGTTTACACATGATTCCTCTGTGAGTCAGGTTCAAGTTCATTGTGCTGGTGTAAACAATCTCACTCAAAGATTTTTCCCAGAAGTTGAAAATAGCAGTACAGGACTGGAGCCCTGGAACTCTAGCTATGTGCTTGGGTGCAGAGAAGTCAATTCAGAATGAGACAGCACCTAAATCTACCTCCACCTCTAAATATTCTTTGGAAGGCTATCAAAGACACAAGAGCCACTTCAAAGTCCTTCTCTTAACCAATAATTCTTTAAACTCTTTCCTTTTGGTTGTATTCTTCTTTCTTTCCCTGTTCCCTACTGTGGTTATTCCAAAGGGTTCTATCCTCACCTCTCTATTCTCCATCTTCATCCATACCAAATCCTAGTTTTTACTAAACATGGTCAAATTCTTTCCCCAAACTCTGGTCCTTATTTACAAATGCCAGGGCCAGATATGTAGCTCAGTAGCACAGCACAAGCCTGGCAAACAAGAGGTCCTGAGTTCAATCCCCAGTACCAAAATCAAACAAACAAAATGTCATAAAGCTATTCTTCACTTCAATATCTACTACTGCTATCAGGCAGATTAACACTGAAAACACGATTATTTCTTCTGTCTGGAATGCTTTTTTCCTCCCTTTTTTGTTCCTATTTACCTTTTAGAAATCAGCTCAAGGCTTTACTTCTTCAAAAATTCTGCTGACTCCCCAGTGAAGTCAGAGTCCCTTAATTTAGGTTTTTTTAGCACTGTATAATTTCTTCAACCCTGTTATAGTTGTACTTTTATATTTATTTCTGTGATGATTTGAATAGTTTTCTCCCATAAAATAAGTTTTATGAACCACAAACTCCTTGAGATTAGGCATGATGTTCTTTTTCAATAATACATTCTCAATAGTAATCACTCAGCATGTGTATGTTAAGTGAATTTGAATTAATGGATGGATTAAATAAAGTTTAAATATTTTTCTCTGGCTTTTCTGATCTTCCTTTATACCATCCTTTTATTTCTTAAACTAAAAACCTTGAATTTTTTCTTTCCTTCATTCCTTTTGTCCCTTACCACCAAGTCCTGTCCCTCCTTCCCATGCATCTATCAGTTTCTTCCCTTCTTTTCTGACTGCTCCCACTCTTGCCCCAAACCCCACCACACACTCAGAGTAGTGTAGTGGCCTCTGCTGTGCCCCAAGCAGCCTCTGTGTTTGGTTAATGTCAGATCTGCAAACACTGACCTTGCCCTGTGTAACGTTCCAGGGAAGAGTGAGAGTATGGTTTAGTCCTCCTCATATTCCTTGAAGGCATGGAAGTAGGATAGACAGTACTCTGAAATCTACAATGGCATTAAATTCAGACCCTCTGCATGATTTTTAAGGCTCAATAAAATTTAATCATATAAATTAAATCTTACTTCTAATTACCCTGTAGCATCGCCAAATTACCTCAAGCCAGGTAGTTTTCCCTCGTTCCCTAAACATCCATATCCATGCCTAAGCCTGAGTTTCTTTACTGTCTTCTAAGCTCTAATGTGCCTTCTCTCTGCTATTGTCCCCACTGTCCTACAAAATACCCCAGTGTACCTCTTTTAGGAACGTCTTCCTACTGTTCTAGTCATTGACATGCTGCCAGACCTGTGATTATAATTTATTATGCCATCTAATTGTTTTCCTGAGTTATATTTGGTTTTAAGCAATTAGACTGTAAATTCTGAGTTCAAAGGCAATTTCTCTTCATTCTTTTGAATCCCTGATACTACCTACTTGATATGTACAATATGTGCTTGATTTCTTTTAACCAGTCACTATTTAATACCAGGTTTATATAGTCAATGACAAAACAGTGGACAGTCAAGGCATAGTCAAGTACATAGCTGTAATCCTAGCTCCTCAGGAGGATGAGGCAGGAGGATGACAAACAAGGCCAGCCTTTTGCACAACAAAAATGATTGGGCATGTAGTTTAGTGGTAGAGTGCCCTCAAAGCACGCATAAGGTCCTGGGTCCAACCACCCAGTGCTGCAAATAAAGAAGGGGGGGGCAGAAATCAACAGAATCGAGAAATTCTTTTTAAGGGTTACTCCCTCTCTCTCTCATCTTTCTCTGTCTCTCTCTCTCTCTCTCCAGTATTTGAGATTTACACTGAACTACATCCCAGCCCTTTTAAATTTTACTTATTTTTAATTTTTAGATAGGGTCTCATTAAATTGTAAGTTACAATTCTCTTGCTTCAGCCTCCCAAAGTGCTGGAATTATAGGCCTGCATCACCTCACCTGGCTCTATGACTTTTTCTTATATTAGAGAATCCCTTGATTAATAATCACCTTAAAATCATTTACTTACCTTTGCAAACCAACAAAACCTCAACAGTTGTTAGTTATTATGTCTCTGCGAGTGCTACACATTCATCTTAGCAATGTTTTAACTTCTTAGAAATCATTATAGTAATCATCACCTTAAATATAAAATTAAGTCTTTTAGCTGAGCATGGTGGCACATGCCTATAATCCCAGCAGTAGGGAGGCTGATAAGACAGGAGGATCACTGAGAGTTAAAGGCCAGCCTGGGGTACATAGTGAATTCAAGGCCAGCCTGAACTACATAGGAAGACCCTGTCTAAAAAAAAAAAAATTTTTTTTTTCTCCCCATCAATTCCAAGACATCCTTTTTTTCAGACTCATTCATTCATCTGCCATTCTTTATCTCTGGGAACTGCAATGACTAGACAATGGAACTCTATGTATTTTCTGGTCTTTAAATATATTTTCTTTAATTCTAAATAAGAATAAGTTCATAAAGAGCTGGGGATTTAGCTCAGTGGCACCACGCCTGCCTCACAGTCCTGTTCAATCCCTGGTACCGCAAAAAAAAAAAAAAAAAAAAAGAATAAGTTCACTGTTTCTATTTCTATGTGGTTTCTATAATTGGTAACAACTTAGCATTTCACTGAAGAAGTAGGAAATTACCTAGGAACAAAACCATTCATTTTTGCAAAGAGCAACCTCAAGACTTTCTCCTTCTGCTCCCAAGTCAAATCTCCAATATCCACATTACGTTGAGTACTTGTCCTAAAGAATTTCAAGAGGTGAAGAAGGGAAAAGGAAAAATGTGGTCAAAATAAGCTTTTCTTGTGAAAAAATATAAAATATGTAAAAACAGCAAAAATTTCATACTGTAACTGAATATTACATACCAACTATAAAGCAAACTATGTATGTTACCAAATCATAAAGTTAAGGCCTATACCAATATGCTAGTCAATACAAAATGTTTTTTAAGGGTGAAGAGTGAAGGGAGGGCAGGGGTATGGGGAAAAAATGAGAATCAAGATCTGTCATGTACAGGTACAAGATCCCAATGATGAATGTAACTGTACTGTATACCTAAAAAGTACCAATAAACTCAATGGAAAAAATGTTATATAGTCATAAAGATGAAAATGACAAAAACTATAATAACATGAAAAAATATTTGTGCTCAAACATTAAGCAAAGGAGCAAAACAACAATATTGTAATCTAACATGTACCCAGCACTCTGGGAGGCTGAGCCAAGAGGATCATTAAGTTCAAGCACAGCCTGGGCAATTTAGTGAAATCTGTCTCAAAATGGAAATACTATAAAAGGGGCCAGTGATGTAGCTTAGTATAAAGGTGCTGGGTTCAATTCCCAGTATCACCAAAAACAAACAAACAAAATCACAAAAATGGGGCCAGGGATTTAGCTCAGTAGTTCTGGTGACTGCCTTGCAAGCACAAGGACCCAAGCACCAAAAAAAAAAAAAAAAAAATTACAAAATTATTTAATGTTATTTAATTATTTAAATGTTAGTAAACCTTTAAGCTCACAATGGTGTGAACAAATTTTTCAAAATCAGAATTTTTGCTTGAAAGTTTGATTTTTATCACAGGCAGCAAACATTACCAATTATTTTCCTTAAAGTAACAGGCTCATTTTAATTTTGTATATTGAGTTTGTACCCTGATACCTTGCTAAATTTTTTTTTTGTGTGTGTGTGGTACCAGGGACCGAACTCAGGTCCTTGCACTTGTGAGGCAGATGGCAGAACCACTGAGCTAAATCCCTGGCTCCACCTTGCTAAATTTCATTATTACTTTTGGTAAGTTTTTTGGAAACCTCTCCAGATTTTTTTACACATATGGTCATGTCTTTTATAAACAAAGACACTTATTTATTTCTCATCTACAAAAAAAGTTTAACCTAAATCTAATCGAGCCTTTATAATCAATTTCCAATTTATATGAAAAAAGATAAAGAAGAATGTCCAAAGATATCACAACGACATTCTATAGGACAAATAATCTAGTTTCTATCAAATTTCTGTCACAAGAAAAAAGGGACATCTACTAAGAACATAGACTGAACCATGGACACTGCTAAAAATAAGGTATATAAGATGAGTAATCAGTTCCCATCCTCATGTAACTTAATGAGATATCTGTTCAACATCTGAATGAAAAAGAATGTCATAAATAAATGTAAATAAAGAATCATTACAAAGAATTATTATACTGATTTTCAAAAATTATATGGTCATGTTAAAATTAACAAATTGAACTTTTCTGAGTTCTTATTTCTCTAAGGGGCACAAAAATAGCACAAAAGACAATATATCAAAGTGTTATCAGTACCATTTTTCAGCTTCCATAAGATCCTGATTCACACTGTTAGTGCTGTGTTCTCTGCCATCAAATGTCCTGATCTGGGGGTATTCTGTTTTTCCTGCACATGCCATTCTCATTTTTAAATTGAAAGCAGCTTGTGCTATCTGCTTATAATGCTTCCTGCTTGTCAAAATCTGTTGCTTCACTTCATGTAGAGCATCTAAAAAGAAACATTCCACTTCTGTTCTCTCATCCAGTATGTTCTTGGCCAGCTTCTTTATTCGGTTCATTTCCCTGTCCTTCATCAGAAGAAGTTGCTGCAGCTTGTCAATTTCTACCTGACCTGCCTGGTTCTCTATCACTGCCTGTTGCTTCACTTTCAAAACTTCAGCCTCAAACTCTCTTGTTATAAAACTCAGAGCATTCTCCAAGTTTACCACCTTCTTCTGAAGAATGTGGATTTGTGCTCTCTGCTGGGTAAGTTGCAAAAACTTCTCCTTAATTAGTAATTGATTGATCTCCTAAAAACAGAAAGATGAGAGAGGCAAAGGTTGCTTTTTTTTCTTTTTTCCTTTAATCATTCTAGAACCTACAATCTCCTCCACAATTTCTATTACTTCATGAGACTTAAGTTTGACACCAGAATAAGGTAATCCTTTTGGTATTTCTATGCATAGGAAGTCTGAACTTGCGAAGGCAATCCACTGATTTTGCTAATTATGAAATTTTTTCACACTTCCTCTAAAATTCTGAAAAACTAAATGTTTTATATTAGCAAAATCAATAAAACCAGACAATAAATATTAACAAGGGGAACTATGGTAGTCTCCTAGTTGCCTTTCTCAGTATTCACTTTCCTTTTCCCTTTCTTCCTTAGTAATAAAATCCCAATTTTACTGGGCATTAAGCCCAGTTGAAAATTTTCCAGCCTCTTTTTTTGTTTTGCTTTGTTTTTCTGAGACAGGGTCTCGCCACAAGGTTCAAGCTACCTTGAATTTACAATGTAGTCTAGGCTGGCCTTGCACTCCTGGCAATCCTCATGTCTTTGCCTCCTGAGTTCTGGGATTACATGTGTATGCCAACATGCCTGGCTTTCATATATATGAAAGGATCGAACTGAGGGCTTTGTGCCCCCCCCTCCTCCTGTTTTCCTTTCTTTTTTTTTTTTTTCTTCCCCTTTTAAGAGGGCCTTACACTACAGTTCAGGCTGGCCTTAAACTCACTATGTAGCCCAGGCTGGCCTTAAATTTGTAGCAATCCTCCAGCCTCAGCCTCCTGAGTGCTGCGATTATAGGCATGCACCACCATGCCCAGCTTTAAGTCTAATGCTTTTTATAAGTCATTCCACATTAATCTTTCAGATAAGGAAAGTACATCATCCACACAGAAGAAAAATGGTCCTACTGTCCTTATATATCATTATTATACTCAATTATTAGTATTCACTAACCCAATCCTTTAAAAAAGGTAAGAAACAAAGAGTAAATGAAAGTGAGGACCTCTTGATGTAACAGATTGGTATGACTCTCTTTCAAATTCTGGGAGTTTTTTTGTAGAGCATCAGCTTCCTTCAGGTGATATGCAAGAGTTTTCTGGAGATAAACATTCTCTTTAAAAACATTTCTTCCAGCAGCATTCAATTGCCTGAAATAGACATAAGATCCTAAAATATAGGCCTACTTTTTAGATATTACCAAATGAGAAGAATAATGACTGCTTGACCCTCTAACATTAATAACAACCATCACTGGGTTGGGAATGTAGCTCAGTGGTACAACACTTGCCTACCACACATGAGGCCCTGGATTCAAACCTCAGCACCACCACCCCACATATACACAAAGCCACCACTCATTAACTTACAACAGGTAGGAGGGGGTCTTGTGACTAAGTTCTTACCCTATAGGAAAGTGAAAAATAATATATTACTTCCAGATATGTTTCCTATGCTTTCTCCTGTCAACATAACTGAACCTGAACATATCCTAGGAATCCAAAATGGCAGAGGTACAAGACGGAAGCAGCTCAGCTTGCATCAGAGAAGAGCTGCCAGGCCCACAGTGGATTGTTAGAAGATGAGCAAGAAAAAAAAAAAACCACTGAGACCTGGGAGTTAATTTGTCAATATAACATACCTAGTGTTACTTCTGCAAATATACCACATGACAATCCTGCAAGCTTGCTAATATTAGCCCCATTTTCAGATGAAGAAATTCACTAAATGTGATCAAAAGACAGTGATTTTTATTTTTGTTTTAATTACAGTAAGAAACATATTGCCATTAGTTCCTTTTAAAATACTCCCTCTTGCTCCAAACACACTTATCCCATCATTCTTGATACTTTCTGAAGCAGTCTGGCATCCTCTTTCTTTTTTTAATTTTTTTTAAAGCAGTGGCAAAGTTCATTCAAGAAAGCAAAAATGAAGAGTGGGAGAGAAATTGGCTCTCCTGAGCAAGCCTAGACTGAGTAAATAGAAAATAAGGGTGAGAGCAAAGATCAAAATACACGCTGCATCTGGGAAACATAGCATGGGCTATCATGGCAAGTTATGATAGCCTGGCATCCCCTTTTCTGAATGAGTTTGGTTACACTGTCATTATTCCTTTGATGTCCTGAATCATTTCAAAACATTTATCTTTCATGGCCATTTTGACTTTGGGGAAGCCCCAGAAGTCTCAGTGTACTAGTTCTGGTGAATAAGATGGACGAGGACATACTGTAATGTTTCCACAACCTTGTCTTTTCACTGGATGGTACTAGGTAGCATCATTCACCATATTTTTTATCACACCTTGTAAAGACACTCATAAAAGAGGACTTTCATTTATTTATTTAATTTTTAAAAAATTTATTGGTACTTGGAATCAAACTCGGGACCTTGCACTTGCGAGGCAGGTGCTGGAACCACTGAGCCAAATTCCCAGCCCCTAAAAAAGGACTTTTAAAACTGCTTCAGAAAATGGCAAGAAAGATGTGATAAGTGCATCTGAAACAAGGGGGATGATTTTGAGGAGGATTAGTGGCAACATATCTTTTACTGTTACAATTTTTTTAAATTTAAAGGTTCTATGTATTTTGATCACACTTTGTAATTTCAAGAAAGTTAAGAAATGTTGCAATGTTGAGATCCAAGGTCCAACTTCAAAGCCAAGGTTCTTTTCACTAGAGCATGATGCTACAGAGTGAAGAGAAGAGGGAAGTGGAATACAGAAAATGAAACATCAAGGAAGACAGAACAAGACATTTAAAGAAAGCAAACCAGGAGACAAGAGGAAGACAAAAAGCTATGAAGAAAACAGACCAGCAAGGAAGCAAGAGAGGCTACCAAGAAAAGGAGGCAATAGTCTCTTACACCACAGCTTCATGGTGGGCTCTCTCGGCTAGCATTATTATCTTCTTTTCAGCCTCTTGTTCTAGTCGGTGCTAAAAAAGGAGATAGGCTGTGTGAACACGTTTCTACTTCTTGCAACACATTTTACTCAACAGAGAGCAATTATTTCAGTACTGGAGGTGTAGCTCAGTGGTAGAATATTTTTCTACCATGCACAACACCCTGGATTTGATTCCCAGCACCGCCCAAAAAAAGTAATTATTTCAGAAAGTTGAATAAAATGCTACTGTTCACATGGACAGATGTGAAGAATTATAAGTACTGGCTGAGAAGCCAGCAAGAAAAGACAATGTGAACACAAGAACCTTAGGGTACCTCTCAATTTCATCATTAAATAAACAACATGACACGTACATGGGTGGGAGTGGGAAGCCACATCCATATAAGAAACCAGAGCTGGAAGAAATTTCTGCTAAACGCAGTATAATAAGTCATTCATTTACCCAATGAACACCATTACTGTACCAGGTTGTTTCAGACACCAGCAATTCTGTGGTAAACAAAATAGGCAATATCCTTGATCTCAACGAAGCTCACATTCTAGGGTAAGATCCAGTATTAATCCATAATTAGCATAATTAACATACTGAGCATTTACTACATGCCAGGTACAGTTCTTAGAGCTTAACATGTATTATTTACTTCTCATGACAACCCAATGAACAAGATTCCCCAAAAGCAAGGACTGACAAAAAGAGAGGTTAGTGACCTGCCCAAAGTTACACAGCTAGTAAGTAGCAGTTAATACATAGGCAAAAAAAAAAAAAAAAACAACCCCACATAGGCAACCTGATGTTATATAACCTCTCTAATGAATATTTAATAGTTATGAGGCTGTGATAAGTGCCATAAATGAAATAAATGAGGCAATTAGGTAATAACCAGGGGACATTTTATATTGGAGTTTAGAAAATCTCTCTGAGAAAATGGCATTTGAGCTCTGAAGGAGAAGGAGCTAGAGCAAGAAGACATTCCAAGAACAGACACTAGTAAGTACGAAAATAAGACAGTAGGACAGCACTTTGTGGCTCAAGGAACAGAAAGGAATAAATAGGAAAACAAAATCAAGCACTTACAACCTGAGGAAATCCTTTACATGAGAAAGTGGAGCACACTGAGGTACAGGTGAATGAGCAGACCTACTGAAAAGCCTCCTGCCATGAAGCAGCAGCCCTAGGCTCAAACAAGCATGGGAGAAATACCCGTGAAGTTTCTACCAACAAGGTGAGGCAGGCACTGCTGTGGATAGATTGCCAACATTTAATTCTCATTCTACTTTTTCCTTCTACTACTAGTTGTTAAAGAAAAAAAACACTCACTTTCCCAGCATCATTATAACACAGTTTTGGCCAATGAGATGTAAGAAGAAATATAGGAGCTTAGAAAGCTTTTATGTCTTCCAGATAAAAGGGACCGATATAGCTGAAGCTTCCCCTTCTTTCTTGCCTCAAACACAAACAAAACTTGCAGCACAAATAAAACTTCCTACCAAGCTATATCCCTAGCCCTTTTTACATTTTATTTTGAGACAATCTTGCTATGTTGCTAAGTTGCCAAAGCTGCACTCAAACTTGTGATCCTCCTGCCTCAGACTCCCAGAATTCTGGAATTACATATGTGCACCATCATACCTGGCTAATAGGTAAAATTTTTATGTTTTTATATATCAAAAATAAATTTTAAAAATAAATAATCTTTGGAAAGGAGAAAAGGACTAGAAAAATGAGATTTCTTTTTGTTTTGGTTTGTTTTTTTTGAGACAAGATATTTGCTATGTATTTTCAGGCTGGCCTCACTGCAGTCCTCCTGCCTCAGCCTCCCAAGTAGTGGAATTACAGGCATGTGCCACCATACCTAGCTAGACAACTGAGACTTCTAGAACAAAAGGCTTTGTTTTCAAAGTTTTGTTCTGCTCTTTTTTAATAAAATTCTAACAAAATACCAGATGGAAAGTCAGTATGTCTCAGAATGCATATAAATACTTATGTTGTTCTAATAACTGAAACATTTCTTTGTTAACATTAATATTCTGTACCTTTTCTTCAAAAAATCTGCCTTCCATTCTTCTAAGAGTCTCCAGATGTTTCTTCTCTGTCACCCTTAAATTTTCTTTCAGCTAAAATTAAAAAACAAAAAATGGTCAATGGGAAATAAGGGTTACTGGAGTGTATTCCTAGAAAATACTAAATAAGGAAACATTTTCTATTATATATTACTTTCTAGTCCTAAATATACACAAAAATTCAGAGTCCTCACCTTATTTCCCTCAATCTTCAGTAGATTTACAAGATTGGTATTAAGTTTTAAACACTTTCATAATTAACAGTTCTCAGGGCATTCAGACAAGTTCTTCTCATAATCATATTTTCAAAATATCTTCAAATGTAGAATGACAGAAGCACAAAATTTGAGAATTGGAAGGGAATGTCAAACTATGCAATTATACCATTTAATATAAAAATTCCTCTTATGAAAAAAATGTGCTGATAGAAATATCATTAATTCCAATCTTTTTCTTTTTTTCCCCAGTACTGGGAATTGAACTCAGGACCTTGTGCTTGCCAGGCAGGTATGGCATCACTGAGCTATATCCCCAGCCAATTCAAATCTCAGTACACCATGTTGCTCATTAACAGTTCTCATTTTTAAAACTTTCTTCCTATTATCAATCTAAAAAATATCTTCTCATGATTCCCATGGAAGGATCACCCTCTCCCCAGTATAGGAGATTGAACCTAGGGAGCACTGAGCTACATCCCTGGCCCTTTTTATTTTTAGTCTCACTGTCTAGACTGGTCTCAGACATGCAATCTTCCTGTCTCAGTCTCCCAAGTAGCTGAGATTACATGTATTACTATGCCCAGCAGGATGTTCTCTAAAACTATGTAGACTAAAAAAGATATAAAATTTTAAGGCAAAGAAATATAAATTAATTTAAAGCAATGATCTATAGTCTACTGGCAAGAATGAATATGAATGAAATAGGTATATTTAATCTCTCATGCCACACACACACACAAAAGGCAATAGAGTAAGGCTTTCCATTAGACAAAGTACTGTCTCACTACCAATTTGCCTGAACAAATCATTTAACTTTTGTATGTCTCAGGTTACCAGGTTAAAAAAAAGGGGGATAGCAATAGTATCTATCTTATAGGGGTAAGGCAAGGATTAAGGGTATGTGTAAAGTGCTTAGCATAGTAACCACTTAATATATAGGTTTAGTTAATATCATTTCTAGTATTGGCCCTCCTTATACTTAACAATTTTCCTCCCTGTGACCTCTGTTGTTTTGTTTTGTTTTGCAGTACCAAGGATTGAACTCAGGATCTTGCGCTTGTGAGGCAGACGAGGTGCTACTGAGCTAAATCCCCAGAGCTTTGATCTCATTCTAACTGTATTAAATCTCCATTTTATTATTTTGCTATATTAGGGATTAAATCCAGGACTTTTGCTGCACTGAGCTACATGCATCTCTTGATCTCTAGCCTTTTTTTGAGATAGGGTATCACTAAGTCACTAAATTGCCAAGTTTGGGTCTGAACTTGTAAGCCTCCTGCTTCAGCCTCCCATAGTACTGGGATTACAGGCCTAAACCATCATACCCAGGTTAAACCTCCATTTAATATGACCTCTTTCAGATGTTCTTCCTAATTCTACACATCTGTTTGCTTTTGGTACCAGGGATCGAACTCGGGACCTTGTGCCTATAAAGCAGGTGGCAGCCCCACTGAACTAAATCCCTGGCCCTACACGTTTATTTTTTAATGGCCTCTTAGACTGTTACATAATTCCAAAGTTAAAGTCAACATATCAATTTAAAGAAACACTTTTCACACTGGTGTGTGAGGAAATGATCTTTTCATATGTCACTAGGCGCCTCTCAAACTCTTAATTAAATTAACCTTTCAAAAGATAACTAGGAAATGAGCAGCACCTTTAAAAGCTCATGAGCTTTTTCAGAGAAGGGATGGGACCTCACTACACTGCCCAGGCTGGAGGGTGGTGACTATTCACAGGTGCAATCCCACTACTGATCAACACATGCAACCGAGAGGTCCCCTACTCCATGTGATGGTCACCATGTGATGCCACCAATGTATGGACACCCAGTCCAATCAACGTAGAGTTCTACAGCCTCAATTCTTATGAACCTCCACCTCCACCTCCCAGTAGTTTGAGACCACAGACACGTTACTAATGTTCATATTCTTTAACCTATATATTTTTCTAATAAGTTATCCTAGCCAGGGATTTAGCTCAGTGGTGCTGCCTCCTGCCTCACAAGCACAAGGCCCTGAGTTCAATCTGCAGTACCCCACCCCCCAAAAAAAGGATAGAAAACTTTACTTCTTAGATGTTCTTCACACTTTATAATGAAAAACTAGAAAAGTCCAAATGTCAACAGCAAAGAACAAATAATGTTTCTACGAAATGGAATTCTATGCATTTATATGATTCTGCAGAAAATTATATCATTAAAATATTTAAGTATGATGAAAATCAGCCTAACAACTTGCATGTCATAACTTTTATAAAAATAGCATTTGATATTTTAAAATATTTCTACATAGCAGAAGAAAAAGACTATAACCCAAAATATTAACAATGGTCATCTTTAGGTAGTGTAATTGGTAAGGGCAGTTACTTTTAATTTTCTTTAATCTGCTAGGCTAAATTTGCTGAAATGAGCAGTATCACTGTCAAAAGAAAACTAAAATAACTAAAAAGTAACTACAACGTACCAATATGTTTCTTCTGTTATTCAAGTAGTAAGAACCTGGGCATAGCGGTGGCACAGACCTGTAACCCCAGCACTCAAGAGGCTGAGGCAGGAGGAATGCTTTGAGTTCAAGGCCAGCCTGGGCTACACAGTGAGTTTAAGGCCAGCTTGAACTACATAGCAAGAACCTGTCTCAAAAAAAATAAAAAAATAAATTTTAAAAAAATGCAAAAAACAGGGCTGGGAATGTGGCTCAGCAACACAGTGCCTGGCAGGTAAGTGCAAGGCCCTGAGTTTGATTCTTGGTACAAAAAAAAAAAAAAAAAAAAAAAATCAAGTAGATTGAAACTCTTCTTTAAAAATGTATGCTTTAAATATTTTTGAATGGGGCAAAGGGAGGGCAGGGGTATGGAAGAAAAATGAGAAGCAAGATCTGTCATGTAAAGGTACAGGACCCAATGATGAATGTAACTGTACTGTATACTTAAAAAGTACCAACAAACTCAATAAAATTAAAAAAAATACTTTCTAAGTCTTTTTTAAAGTTGTACAACGAACTCTATATTGTGTATATACACAGCAAAATTTCCTGCCTTAATTCACATCTCCAAATTTAAAACTCATGGGTCTCATATCTTCTTCATTTCGGATTCTACAAAACCATCTTTTTTCTATAAACCATTAACTTTTGCCTTTGAATTTTAAATCAATAACCCACTTTGAAAGGTCTTCAATCTACTTCTCCATTAGGTGGCAACATTGTTTCTTAAAAAAGAAAAATGACATCAAAGCTCACAAGAGCATTGAGTAGTTTTCAATTCATTCTGAGAATGTGTACTTGCACATGGGGTGGCTATTTTGACAGTTCTTGAAAATTTAAATATATTGATTCAATCTGCAACACCTTTATATAAAACAAATAGTATTCCTTCTAGAGAACGTGACATTCCTTCAATTGTGATTTTGTTTTTAAGATTACCAAAAGCAAAACAAAATATTTATTTTGAGATCTAACAATTATGGAAAACCCAAATAATGGAAATTAGACCCTTTCAGGGTCTTCTGGGATATCAGAAGCTCCACCCTCGGAAGTAGCTTGATGCTTCTCCATTTTAGCAATCAACTCTTTAGCAGGATTGAAGACACCGTTTGTCTGCTGGTCACAGACGTAGCAGCGGGAGGTGGTGCGGAAATGCTGCAGTGCACAGCTCTCGCAGAAATAATGCTTGCACTTGGTAACAACTGGGTTTTTAAAGGTCTGGCGACAGATAAAACACTTGAACGGTATTTCCTCATCATCACTTCCCACTTCGTAGTTTTCGTCCTCACAAACACCATAGCGACCCTCATCAAGCTCACGTTCGATCTGCCATCCGTGCTTGTAATCTGAACGGTCATGGAGGAATTTGCAGCTGTCTCCGAACCCACAGAAGCCAGTCTCTTTATAGTCCTTACAGATGTCGGGCTGGTAATCCCAGCGCACGGTGGCCCGTAGATGCTCAGGTGCTCGGATGGGTCCCTTCCTCACCATCCCGGAAGAGGCATTGCCCATAGACGTATCCTTGGGTTTCATGTATTTCTGGTAATTATTGATTCCCCGATAGATTTTGTCATCCTCCTTGCCCCTCAGCTCTTCCTGGATTTTCTGGCTGCGCTCAAAGATGGCTTGTGCGTCTTGCTCCTTCTCAGTGTCCAGCTCATAGACCGCTGTGGCCCCCATATCCTCTGGCCCCACAGGTTTCGCTGAGCGGGTGGACTTGTAAACCACGCCCAAACTCTCACTCTCCTCTTCTTCCTCGCTGCTCAGACAACCATAAACCGCCTTCCGTTTCCCGCTGCCACAGGTCTTCTGGATCATCGGATTGTGGGTCGTCCGCTTCTTCTCGGGTCGAACCACAATGCTGTCTTCATCACCACTGCCGCTGCTTTCTCCGGGCTCCAAGTCGCAGACTGGGCGCTTTCGGCTGCCTGCAGCCCCTTTCCGCCTGGGCTTTTTGAAGAGAAAGTTGCACACAGGGTCAGCCGACTCTGCGGGAGGCCGTTGCTCGGCCATATTGGAGTCCCAAGCGCCTAACTGCGGCAGAGCGCTAGGTGGCGCGGGGACTTCTACGTCACCGCCCTCGCGCTACGCCAGAGGCTGAGGACCACGAGAGCGCCAGTGCGCAGGCGCCAGCAGCCCCATTGGGGGTTCCTAGAAAAAAAAGGTTTATAAGGGGCTGGGGATTTAGCTCAGTGGTTCAGGCACCTGCTTTGCAAGTGTAAGGATCTGAGTTCTATCCCCGGTACCAAAAAAAAAAAAAAAAAAAAAAAAAAAAAAAAAAAAAAAAAAAAAAAAAAAAAAGGTTTATAAAACGTTGGTGTGTCCATAAGACAAATATGTAGCAAGGCCTAAGTAGTATTAAAAAAAAAATGCCGTGCCCAGCACTCGGGAGGCTGAGGCAGGAGGATTGCTGTGAGTTCGAGACCAGCCTGGGCTACATAGTGAGTTCCAGGTCAGTCTCAACTACATAGTGAGACCCTGTCTCAAAAAACCAAAAAAAAAAAAAAAAAGTTCAGAAAATTATTACTTTTAAACAGGACTGAAGCCTCTTGGAGAACACACATTTGAGTTGAGCCTTTAAAGGGCATGTAAAATTTTAATGGACAAAGAACTATCAGAAATATATTCCAGCCGGGCGTGGTGGTACATGCCTGTATCCCAGCACTTGGAAGGATGAGGCAGGAGGATTGCTAGGAGTTCCAAAAGTATTAACACAGTGTTCAGTTACTGTCCCCAGTTCCAGCGTGCCTTGCTCCCGCACCCTCCTTGCCCCATCCTTCTTTCCTATTTGCTCTTCCCTAAATTTGGGTTTTTGTTACAGATCTAAAGCTCTTTCAATTTTGTACTGATTAAATCAGTCCTGCAGTATTTGATTTTAAAAAGTCAACAAAGTAAGGGGGAACCTTACAAAATAAGTAAATACCCAGTTTGGGGGAATTAAAAGGAGTGTGTGCAGAGGACAGGGTGGTGTAGCAAAAGGAGATAGTAAGATCTCTAGGTAGGTCTTTAACACTATTGTGTTGGGACAACATTCCACTAAGGATGGAGAAATCCCAAAGATTTTTTGGGAAGTGGCAATCCTGGGGAATGAACCAAGGGCCTTCACACTCAGCTAAATCCCTGGCCCTTTTTATTTTTTTGTTCTGAGACAAGGTCTTTCTGAATTGCCCAGGTGGGATCCAACTTTATTTTTTGAGAAGAGGTCTCGCTATGTAGGCTGGCCTTGGACTCATTCTGCAGCCCAGGTTGGCCTCAAACTTACAGATCCTCCTGCCTCAGCACCTGAGTGCTGGGATTACATATGTGTGCAATACCACATCTGGCTGGGCTCAAACTTTCAATCCTGCCTCAGCCTCCCAAGGTGCTGGGATTATAAGCATGCACTAACCACACCAACTCCCAAAGATAACTCTTTTTTAAAAAGTAAATTTTATTTTGTCCCTCCCCGTCCCCAGGCTCTTCTATATTCCATTTTTCCTTCTATATTTAGGTCTTTGAACCATTTTGATTTTACCTTAGCGTGTGGTGAAAGATATAGGTCTAGTTTCAATCTTCAGCATATGGAAAGCCAGTTTTTCCAGTACCATTTATTATAGAGGCTATCCTTCTTCAAGTGAAGGTGTTTGGCTCCTCTGTCAAAGGTAAGATGGTTGAGTATGTCTGGAGTTGTTTCTGCATCATCTAGTCTGTGCCACTGATCCTCAGGTCTGTTCTTTTGCCAATACCATTTTTTGTTTGTTTGTTTTTTCATCACCATAGCTCTGTAGTATAATTTCAAGTCAGGGATCGTGATACCCCCTGCTTTGCCTATTGCCCAGAACGGCCTTTGCTATTCTCAGTCTCTTCTGGTTTCAAATGAATTTTAGGATTGTTTTTTCAAATTCTGTGAGATATGATGTTGGGATTTTGATTGGGATTGCACTGAATCTATGCAACAATTTTGGAAGTATGGCTGTTTTTACTATACTGGTTCTTCTTATCCAAGAACAAGGGATATCTTTCTACTTTCTGATATCCTCTTCAATCTCCTTTTTCCGAGTACTGTAGTTTTCATTGTAGAGGTCTTTTATTTCCTTCAATAGATTGATTCCTAGGCATTTCATTTTTTTGGATGCTATTGTGAAAGGGATTGTTTCTCTAATTGCTCCCTTGTGAGTCTGTTATTCATGTACAGGAAGGCTACTGACTTTTGAGTGTTGATTTTACATTCAGCTACACCTCTGAATTTGGTTATCAAATCTAAAAATCTTTTGGTGGAGTTTTTGGGGTCTTCTATGTAGAATATCAAGTCATCTGCAAATAATAATTTAACTTCTTCCTTTCCTATCGTTATACCTTTTCTTTCTCTTGTCTCACTGCCGTGGCTGTCATTTCCAGAACTATACTGAACAAGAGTGGTGACAGTGGACAACCTTGTCTTGTTCCTGATTTTAGAGGGAAAGTTTTCAGGTTTTGTCCATTTAGTATGATGCTGCCTGTTGGTTTGTCATAGATGGCTTTTATCAGATTGAGATGAAGATCATCTATACCAATTTTCTGTAGGGTTTTTATCATGAATTGGTGTTGAACCTTGTCAAACCTTTTTCTGCATCTATTGAGAGGATCATTTAGTTTTTATCCTTGGCTCTGTTAATACAGCGTATTACATTTATTGATTTGTGTCTGTTGAGCCATCCCTGCATCCCTGGGATGAATTCAAACTTGGTCAGGGTGTATAACCTTCTTGATGATTTGCTGCATTCTGTTTACCAGTACCAAAGATAATTATTGAAGGAGGTGATCCAGAACATCTGTGATATTTTAAGGTTACTCCTGCAGCTGTATATACATTTTTTTTTTTTTTTTGTACCGGGATCAAACTTGGGTTCTTGAGCAAGGCAGGCAGTGGAAGCACTGAGCTAAATCCCCGTCCCAGCTGTATATACTTTGGACTGCAGTGGTATGATTGTTTTAAAATACATCCACAATTTTTTGATATGCCTCTCTTCAAATGATGGAACCTAATTCCCTGCCCTTATAACGTAGGCCACATTCTTTTTTTTTTTTTTTTTTTTTTGTACCAGGGATTGAACTTGGGACCTTGCATTTGCAAGGCAGATGGTGAAACCACTGAGTTAAATCCCCAGCAAGGTACACTTCTCTTTTTTTGAGACAGGGTCTCACTATGTAGTTGAGACTGACCTGGATCTATGTAGCCCAGGCTGGTCTCGAACTCACAGCAATCCTCCTGCCTCAGACTCCCAAGTGGTGGGATTACAGGCATGCAGCACCCCGCCAAGGCGTA